GGATGGCCATCTGTCAGGGGTGATTTGAATGCAATATTCCTGCTTCTTGGCAGGGGGTTGGACTGGATGGCCCATGAGGTCTCTTCCAACTCTTTGATTCTATGATTCTATGATCTCTGGCCTGTTTACTCCACTGTTGTCGGATGTTTGTTGTTATTTGCCACCATGTTGACTTCAATTCATGGCTACATTATGACTAGCATGGGGCAGTGAACTATCCTATCGCGTTGTTCTAAGTTTTTTGGGCTGTATGGCCATGTGCCAGAAGCATTCCCTCCTGACGTTTGTTTGTTTGTTTATTTATTTATTTATTTACTGCATTTCTATACCGCTTTTCTCACCCCTAGGGGGACTCATCTATGGCCTCATCTATGGCAAGCATGCAAGCGAAACATCAGGAGAGAATGCTTCTGGAACATGGCCATACAGCCTGAAAAACTTACAACAACCCAGCCATGAAAGTCGGAATCAAAGCACATAGAATCATAGAATCAAAAAGTTGGAAGAAACCTCATGGGCCATCATCCAGTCCAACCCCCTGCCAAGAAGCAGGAATATTGCATTCAAATCACCCCTGACAGATGGCCATCCAGCCTCTGTTTAAAAGCTTCCAAAGAAGGAGCCTCCACCACACTCCGGGGCAGAGAGTTCCACTGCTGAACGGCTCTCACAGTCAGGAAGTTCTTCCTCATGTTCAGATGGAATCTCCTCTCTTGTAGTTTGAAGCCATTGTTCCCTTGCGTCCTAGTCTCCAAAGAAGCAGAAAACAAGCTTGCTCCCTCCTCCCTGAAGTTTAGCAGAACTTCGACAAGACATCAACTACTCTGACATCTTCCACTTCACCAGGCGTTCTTAAATTTTCTAGAAAGCCCTTCATTTCATGAAAAGCAGCAGATTACCGAAGCTGTCTTCATAGACCCTTCACAGCTTATTATATTGTAAATCATTGCCTCCTCCTGAAAAAAAAAGTATAATCTGCTACAAAACAGGAGCTTTTTTGTTGAGTTCCAGGCTCAAAGAAGCAGATGGCGAAGACAGAAGAACGGCCTGCTCAGAGGAAGAATGCTTGCACCATCAATGTTTAACATTAACACAAATGATCAGCCATTGTCAGAAGGGACAGAGTTTCATCTATGCCAGTGTTTCTCAACCTGGGAGTCGGGACCCCTGAGGGGGTCGCGAGGGGGTGTCAGAGGGGTCACCAAAGACCATAAGAAAACACTATTTTCTGATGGTCATGGGGATTCCATGTGGGAAATTTGAGTCAATTCTATCGTTGGTGGAGTTCGGAATGCTCTTTGACTGTAGGCGAACTATAAATCCCAGCAACTACAACTCCCAAATGTCAAGGTCTATTTTCCCCAAGCTCCACCAGTGTTCACATTTGGGCATATTGAGTATTTGTGCCAAGTTTGGTCCAGATCTACCATTGCATGAGTCCACAGTGCTCTCTGGATATAGGTGAACTACAACTCCCAAACTCAAGGTCAATGCCCATCAAACCCTTCCAGTTTTCCATTGGGCATGGTAGCCAAGTTTGGTTCAAATCCATCACTGGTGGAGTTCAGAATGCTCTTTGATTATAAGTGAACTATAAATCCCAGCAAATACAACTCCCAAATTACAAAATCTGCCCTCCCCCAACCCCACTACCATTCACATTTGCGTGTGTTGGGTATTTGTGCCCTGTTTGGTCCAGTGAATGAAAATGCATCCTGCATATCAGATATTTACATTATGATTTATAACAGTACTAAAATGACTGTTATGAAGTAGCAACGAAAATAATATTATGGTTGGGGGTCACCACAACGTGAGGGACTGTATTAAGGGGTCACGGCATTAGGAAGGTTGAGAACCACTGATCTATGCCATCACCGCTCAAGCAGGGAGCTTTGAAGTAGTTGATCAGGAGCTCTCCGAAGCTGGGACTCAGTGCAATTAAACTACATTTTGGAATTGCATTATATGGCAGTTTATTTGCATTTTATTCAGTGCTCCCTTGTTTAACATTTGATTAAGCATTAAGCTACTGGCACAATTTGGGGGGGGGGGGGGTGGGGGGGGGTGTTTTTTGGGGGGGTGGTTTTTTTTGGGGGGGGGTTTGGTACTGTTTCGACTCTTTCTCAATCCCTGTGCCTTTTTGGGGGCAATTATGTGGGGGGAGCTCTGGCGTAGGCTGGTCCATGAGGTCACGAAGAGTCGGAGACGACTGAACGAATGAACAACATGTGGGGGGAATGGTTTAAAGCAGACAGATGGATGGCAAGGACAAAGATGATTATGGTGGGTTTTCTCGTCTTTTCTTAAGTTGTCAAATCATGTCTCTGCTAATAGTATTTTAAGGATTACTGTTCATGCAAACAGGAATTGACACCTAGGAATTCAAACTCAAAGGAGAAAGCCAGATAAGAGACACAGATTCACATCAAATGTCTCATTTACAAGACATTCGTGGTAAATTATCTCTCCAACAGCCAGCATAATGCACTTGTTTGAGTGTTGAACTACAGACAACTTTGGAGACTAGATAAGTGAGATGAAAAGAAGGCAATATTCAATATTAACTTGAGTCCATCCAACTGAAATTACTTATTATATTATGCACATTACATTATCCTCTCATCATATGGAAAACAGTAGTAGAGCAAATGAGCTATCGATCTGTCTATCTATCTATCTATCTATCTATCTATCTATCTATCTATCTATCTATCTATCTATCTATCTCAGCATCTCTCAACCTGGGGGTCGGGACCCCTGGGGAGGTCGTGAGGGGGTGTCATAGAGGTCACCAAAGACCACCAGTAAACACAATATTTTCTGTTGGTCATAGGGGTTCTGTGTGGGAAGTTTGGCCCAATTCTATCATTGGTGAGGTTCAGAATGCTCTTTGACTGTAGGTGAACTATAAATCCCAGCAACTACAACTCCCAAATGTCAAGGTCTCTTTTCCCCAAACTCCACCTGAATTCACATTTGGGCAGATTGAGTATCCATGCCAAGTTTGGTCCAGATCCATCATTGTTTGAGTCCACAGTGCTCTCTGGATGTAGGTGAACTACAACTCCAAAACTCAAGGTCAATGCCTACCTGCCCCTTCCAGTATTTTCTGTTGGTCATGGGATTTCTGTGTGTCAAGCTTGGTTTAATGCCATCATTGGTGGAGTTCAGAATGATCTTTGATTGAAGGTCAACTGTAAATCCCAGCAACTATAACTCCCAAATATCAAGATTCTATTTCCCCCAAACTCCACCAATGTTCACATTTGGGCATATTGAGTATTCATGTAGAGTTTGGTCCAGATCCATCATTGTTTGAGTCCACAGTGCTCTCTGGATGTAGGTGAACTACAACTCCCAAACTCAAGTTCAATGCCCACCAAACCCTTCCAGTATTTTCTGTTGGTCAGGGGAGTTATGTGTGTCAAGTTTGGTTTAATGCCATCATTGGTGGAGTTCAGAATGATCTTTGATTGAAGGTCAACTATAAATCCCAGCAACTATAACTTCCAAGTTGTTGTTGTTCATTCGTTCAGTCGTCTCCGACTCTTCGTGACCTCATGGACCAGCCCACGCCAGAGCTCCCTGTCGGCCGTTACCACCCCCAGCTCCCTCAAGGTCAGTCCAGTCACTTCAAGGATGCCATCCATCCATCTTGCCCTTGGTCGGCCCCTCTCCCTTTTGCCTTCCACTTTCAAAAGCATCGATCGTCCTTCGCTCAGCCTTCCCTAAGGTCCAGCTCTCACATCCGTAGGTGACTACAGGGAATACCATGGCTTTGACAAGGCGGATCTTTGTTGCCAGTCTGATGTCTCTACTCTTCACTATTTTATCGAGACTGGACATTGCTCTCCTCCCAAGAAGTAAGCGTCTTCTGATTTCCTGGCCACAGTCTGCATCTGCAGTAATCTTTGCGCCCAGAAATACAAAGTCTGTCACGGCCTCCACGGTTTCTCCCTCTATTTTCCAGTTGTCAATCATTCTTGTTGCCATAATCTTGGTTTTTTTGACGTTTAGCTGCAACCCAGCTTTTGCGCTTTCTTCTTTCACCTTGATTAGAAGGCTCCTCAGCTCCTCCTTGCTTTCGGCCATCAGAGTGGTGTCATCTGCATATTTGAGGTTGTTAATGTTTCTTCCAGCAATTGTCTATTTTCCCCAAACGCCACCAGTGTTCACATTTGGGCATATTGAATATTTGTGTAGAGTTTGGTCCAGATCCATCATTGTTTGAGTCCACAGTGATCTCTGGATGTAGGTGAACTACAACTCCAAAACTAAAGGACAATGCCCACCAAACCCTTCCAGTATTTTCTGTTGGTTATGGGAGTTCTGTGTGTCAGGTTTGGTTCAATTCCATCATTGGTGGAGTTCAAATGAACTATAAATCCCAGCAACTACAACTCCCAAATGACAAAATCAATTCTCCCAACCTCACCAGTATACAAATTTGGGCGTATCGGGAATTTGTGCCAAATTTGGTCCAGTGAATAAAAATAGATCCTTCATTACGATTCATTGCAGGAGCAAAATTACAGTTATGAAGTAGCAACAAAAATAATTTTATAGTTGAGGGTCACCACAACATGAGGAACTGTATTCAGTGATTGCAGCACTAGGTAGATCGAGAACCACTGATGTATCTAATTATCTATCTCTCTGCAGACATCTTTTCTCTCTCCATGCTCACAGGAGGGGGACAAAATGATGGAGAACCACTAAAGATACTAGTTTGGGAAGCTAGGAAGCTTTAAAACCGAGGCTGGATGTCCATCTGTTGGGACGGCTTTGGTGGTGCCTTCCTTCCTGACCAAATGACTGGATAACCTTTGGGAATCTCTTTCAATTTGAGGATTTTATGAGTATGATTAGATGAGATGCTTATGGGTGAGTCACGCTGTCTCAGCCTCAGAGAAAGGCAATGCATCGGAAGGAAACTATTTGGGTCAACATGGGAAAGGACTTGGCGGCACTTGACAGCAAGCAACGTTGGCTAATACCTGATGCTGGAATTTGGAAGGGTCCCGGCTGCTGACGGGGACCACGCTGCCGTAGACGTGGAGCTCCCGGACGATGGAGACGCCCGCTTTCAGCTCCGCTCGGAAGGTCTCCTCCGAGCACTTCCGCAGGCGCAGGAGGCCGATCAGGATGTCTTGCTCGGGGTCCTCGTAGGACAGGAAGGTCTCCCAGCCGCCGTTGGCTACGTAATCTCTCCGGATGAGTTCCACCTGCTCCCCCAAGAGAGAAAACAGAGCCGTAAAAGTCATTGGGCAGCAATAATCGGAGTGATCACAACAGCGCTCAAGCTTGAGAGTGATGGAAGGCAATTTTACAACTGCTTAGATGGGTGCAAAACGGTTTTTACAAAGCCTGTCTTGCTGCAGATAAGATTCTTAGCGGTGTCAAATAAGAGTCGAAGGTGCCGTTATTGGATTCGCACTGAAGTCCAAACTGATGTCCAATTCTTTTTTTTTAAAGGATTTGTTTCATTTTTTGGTATTACTATTTCCAAAGTGTATACGTTATAACATAACTATAATGCTGCATTTTATTGAGTTTTTTATTTAAATTAGTAAGGGGTTTTATATGCTGTTTTTATGTATATTTGTTTTATGCTGATTAGCATTGTTATGGTTTTATACATGTTTACGTATTTTATTGTATTTTGTATATTATTGTATAATATTGATAATATTAGAATGTAGAATATTAGAATCAAAGAGTTGGAAGAGACCTCATGGGCCATCCAGTCCAACCCCATTCTGCCAAGAAGCAGGAATATTGCATTCAAATCACCCCTGACAGATGGCCATCCAGCCTCTGTTTAAAAGCTTCCAAAGAAGGAGCCTCCACCACACTCCGGGGCAGAGAGTTCCACTGCTGAACGGCTCTCACAGTCAGGAAGTTCTTCCTCATGTTCAGATGGAATCTCCTCTCTTGTAGTTTGAAGCCGTTGTTCCATTGCGTCCTAGTCTCCAGGGAAGCAGAAAACAAGCTTGCTCCTTCCTCCCTGTGGCTTCCTCTCACATATTTATACATGGCTATCATATCCCCTCTCAGCCTTCTCTTCTTCAGGCTAAACATGCCCAGCTCGTTAAGCCGCTCCTCATAGGGCTTGTTCTCCAGACCCTTGATCCTTTGAGTCACCCTCCTCTGGACACATTCCAGCTTGTCAATATCTCTCTTGAATTGTGGTGCCCAGAATTGGACACAATATTCCAGGTGTGGTCTAACCAAGGCGGAATAGAGCATGGGGAGCATTACTTCCCTAGATCTAGAACACTATAATGCTGCATTTTATTGAGTTTTTTAATTTAAATTAGTAGGGGTTTTTATATGCTGTTTTTATGTATATTTGTTTTATGTTGATTACCATTGGCCATGTTCTAACGGCATTTTCTCCTGACGTTTCGCCTGCATCTATGGCAAGCATTCTCAGAGGTAGTGAGGTCTGTTGGAACTAGGAAAAGGGGTTATATATCTGTGGAATGACCAGGGTGGGGCAAAGGACTCTTGTCTGCTGGAGCCAGGTGTGAATGTTTCAACTGATCACCTTGATTAGCATTTGATTGCCTGGCAGTGCCTGGAGCAGTGCCCTCTGGCTACCAGTATTAAAAAACTTCAAAATTAGAACAGCACAACTACAGAGAGGAAACAAACAAGGACATCTAATCACCTCTCAACAAAGGATTGCTCCAGGCACGGCCAGGCAATCTTAGGCGATCCCTTGTAGTCTGAGTAGGATTGTCATCCAAGATCGGTGTCCTGGCGGTGGATCCATAGGTGACTGTGGAGCCCTATTTTTGACCTGCATATTCTCCCGCAATGACGGCACTGGTTTCCAGGTGGAAGGCAGTCCCGGAATGCAGAACTCCCATGACCAACAGAAAATACTGGAAGGGTTTGGTGGGCATTGACCTTGAGATTTGGAGTTGTAGTTCACCTGCTTACTTAGGCAATCCGTCGTTGGACAAGTAGGATAGTCTTCCAGGGTCAGAGTTCTTGTGAGTCTGTAGGTGGCTGTGGAGCCCTATTCTTGACCTGCATCTTCTCCCGCAGTGAGGGCATTGGTTTCCAGATGGAAGGCAGTCCCGGTTGGGGTTGGCTTGACACACCTTCCTCTTGGCACGTTTCTCTCTTTCGCCCTCCATTCATGCCTCTTCAAATTCTACAGCACTGATGGTCACAGCTGACCTCCAGCTGGAGTGCTAAAGAGCTAGGGCTTCCCAGTTCCCAGTGTCTATACCAGAATTTTTAAGGTTGACTTTGAGCCCATCTTTAAATCTCTTTTCCTGCCCTCCAACATTCTGTTTTCTGTTAAGTTCAGAGTAGAGCAACTGCTTTGGGAGACAATGGTCAGGCATTTGGACAACATGGCCGGTCCAGCGGAGTTGATGGCAGAGGATCATCACTTCAATGCTGGTGGTCTTTGCTTCTTCCAGCACGCTGATGTTTCTCCGCCTGTCTTCCCAAGAGATTTGCAGGATTTTTTGGAGGCTGCGCTGATGGAATCGTTCCAGGAGTTGCATGTGATGTCTGTAGACAGTCCACGTCTCGCAGGCATATATAGCAGGGTTGGGAGGGGAATAGCTTTATAAACAAGCCCCTTGGTCTCCCTACGGATGTCCTGGTCCTCAAACACTCTCTGCTTCATTTGGAAAAATGCTGCACTTGCAGTGTAGGTATTGTATTTCAGTGTCAATGTTGACTTTTATGGAGAGGTGGCTGCCAAGGGAGCGGAAATGGTCAGCATTTTCTAATGTGACACCATTCAGCTGTATCTCTGGCATTGGACAGGGATTGGCTGGTGACTTTTGGAAGAGCACTTTGGTTTTCTCGATGTTCAATGACAGGCCGAGTTTCTCGCATGCTTCTGCGAAATTGTTTAGAGTGGCTTGTAGGTCTTCTTCTGAATGTGCACAGACAACGTTGTATCTTGTGAGCACTCACTCACTCACTGCAGACCTGAATCCAGTATCCTGGGTATCACCAGAGGATTATTTTTTGAAGGACACAGCAGTATGTTGGCTCCAATTCCATCATATTCATTGCACAGTGCACGCTTTTTGTGCTGCAGCGAGTGGAAGGAGCATCACTAACAGCACCATCAAGTCTTACTGCAAGCTTATCAAGCCATGGCACATGGATCTGTGACTCACTTCACCATGGGAATGGTGTTACACACTGTCAGGCTTACAACTCTATTCTAAGTTTCTTTCCTCGGAAGAATGAGTGCCAGCATTCAGCAAGGCTTATTTTATTGATTCACAAGCTTAGGTACCCAGGGATCCCTGGATTAGGTATTTTGGAGTGATTCATGTTAGAAATAACCATTGTTTGGGTTTGGGATATTACGGTTATGAATGGTCCTACTAGGAATACATATTGCTCTGTGGAGGTAGGATATCAGTGGATTACAACTCCCATCAACCCAATTCAATCCCCGCCAAACCCTACCAGTATTTAAAGTTGGTCATACTGTGTTTTCTGATGGTCTGACACCCCCACGCGACCTTCCCAGGGATCCCGACCCCCAGGTTGAGAAACGCTGGCCTAAGTAATTAAGTAAGTATGTAAGTAAGTAAGTAATAATATTAATAGCAATAAATAATCATAATAACAATAATAATAACTATTTTTATACCCTGCCTCCATTTCCCCTAAGGGACTCGGGCCGGCTTACAAAGGGACAAGCACAGGGAGCACAAAGTTAAAAACATAACACAGTAACAAAACCAAATACAAACATATCACAATAAAACATAACAACATAAAAACAGTGCCATACAGAACGATAAAAATGCTGAGTTCAGACGGCTCAGGGTTTGTGCAAATTCCTAGATAGAGCTAAGAGAAAGTCCAAAATTCAGAAAGGAGGGCTGGGGGGATAATCATAGAATCAAAGAGTTGGAAGAGACCTCCTGGGCCATCCAGTCCAACCCCATTCTGCCAAGAAGCAGGAATATTGCATTCAAATCACCCCTGACAGATGGCCATCCAGCCTCTGTTTAAAAGCTTCCAAAGAAGGAGCCTCCACCACACTCCGGGGCAGAGAGTTCCACTGCTGAACGGCTCTCACAGTCAGGAAGTTCTTCCTCATGTTCAGATGGAATCTCCTTTCTTGTAGTTTGAAGCCATTGTTCCGCGTCCTAGTCTCCAAGGAAGCAGAAAACAAGCTTGCTCCCTCCTCCCTGTGGCTTCCTCTCACATATTTATACATGGCTATCATGTCTCATCTCAGCCTTCTCTTCTTCAGGCTAAACATGCCCAGCTCTTAAGCCGCTCCTCATAGGGCTTGTTCTCCAGACCCTTGATCATTTAGTCGCCCTCCTCTGGACACATTCCAGCTTGTCAATATCTCTCTTGAATTGTGGTGCCCAGAATTGGACACAATATTCCAGGTGTGGTCTAACCAAAGCAGAATAGAGGGGTAGCATTACTTCCCTAGATCTAGACACTATGCTCCTATTGATGCAGGCCAAAATCCCATTGGCTTTTTTTGCCGCCACATCACATTGTTGGCTCATGTTTAACTTGCTGTCCATGAGGACTCCAAGATCTTTTTCACATGTACTGCTCTCGAACCAGGCATTGTCCCCCATAATGCCCCATGTTCATGGGCACTAAAATGTCAGGATTGTAGCACGGAGGGCTATGCTAAAGTGCTGGTACTTTGATAACATTGGGCCAATTCTTTGGAACTGCCTAGTCAAAGGCACAGCAGAACATCCATGTTTTTAGGTTATTGCGGAAGGAGGACAGGGTAGGTGACAGTCTGATCACCCTAGGAGGAGAGTTCCAGAGACACGGGGCCACTGCCGAGAAGGCCCTCTCCCTCGTCCCTAACAACCATGCCTATGGCAGAGGCGGAAGCGAGAGAAGGGCCTCCCCGGATGATCTTAGGGCTCGTGTTGTTTCGTAGGGGAAGATGCGATCGCGAAGATAGGCAGGGCCTGAACTGTTGCTTATATATATATATATATATATATATATATATATATATATATATATATATATCTTAAAGCAAACATCCATTTTCTCTCTTTTGTGTAATTTGTGTATCTTTTTCCTTGGGATGACTACTTCTCTCTCTCTGTCTATCTCTCTGCACAAAAACATTTGTGTTTTAAATGGCACACATGCATACATATATGGATTCCCACCGGGAAGGAATACGCCACCCACCTGATAAGGTCTCACTTTGTGATGAATTTCTTGTATTCCGACTTCTCTTGTCCTCACATCACGGCACTAAGTGTGAAAAAAACGAGAGGGAAAGACAACAATCACACAGAGAAAGAGACAGACGCAGCATTGGCTTTTGCCTCCTCCGGAGTTCAAAATTAAGTCAGAATCGACCTGAGCTGATAATTTGAAAATGGGAGACTTCAAAATAAAAATGTCCAGTGATCCATCAATAACACATTTCCAAAAAAGGGTGTGTGTGTGCGCGCACGCATGTGAACATGGTATTTAAAACAGAACAAAGGGAGAACCGAAGGAAACATGCATTTGAATGTCATGTGAAAAGGCACTGCCTGATTTGAAAGAGTTGCTAACACTGCAATTGGTGTTGGAAAGGCAACGGAATTGGAGAGGTGTGCGCCGGCTAATTAAATGGTTGTGCGGCGAAACTCCTAAGTGGCTCCGAAATGGGATGTTTTCAATGAGGAAATTAAAGAGAGGAAATGCAGTGTGTAAGAACAAAAAAAAGGGCAACTTAATGAAGTTCAGTCTAAAGAAGATGAAGGGGTGCAGCCATACTGCAGAATTAATGCAGACTGTAGCCAAAACTTGTTTACTGCTTAAGAGGATGTTCTCAGGATCCAGTGCTCTTTGCAACCATAATTTCTGATCTTAAGTTAAAAAAAAAAATCAGGCCTGGATGCGTTTTGGATGAAGCTGTCAAAAGATCTCCAGAACATTCAACATGATTTTCTTTCCTGGTGTAATAACCTGGTTTTTCTTTTTATGGACGTATGGCTCGGTTTTGGATCAAATTTGAAATGCTCTTCATTTTATGTGGGGTAAAAACCTTGGTTCTGCTGCCACCTTTTTTGTTGCACTCTGGTATTGAAACACCTTTTCACCCAGCACCACACCAGAGTCCAGTAATACCATCTAGAAATGTTTATTAAAGGAAGCTGGTACCAAGGGGGGGGGGGGGAGGAGGGCATTTCCAAAAGGGTCAGTAAAATGGAAAATACAAAATATCAGTAATCCAAAAATATATTGTCAAATGTTTTCATGGCTGGAATCATTGGGTTGTTGTAGGTTTTTCGGGCTGTATGACCATATTCTAGAAGCATTGTCTCCTGATGTTTTGCATACATCTATGACAGGCATCCTCAGAGGATGCCTGTCATAGATGCAGGCAAAACATCAGGAGAGAATGCTTCTGGAACATGGCCAAACAGCCCAAAAAACCTACAATAACCCAATCCCAAAATAGCAAATACAAAATAAAAGTAATCCAAAAATGGCAATGAGTCAAGAGAACCAGAATCCCCAGCAGTTACCCAAACATAAATCCATAAACTAGAAAACAGGAGCTTCTTCCAAGGCAAACCATTACAGGAACAAAGGCATGAACCAGAACAGGAAACTTCAAATCATGAACTTGAGTGCAGAGACAGGAAAAACCATCCTTAAGCAACATTGTGTCCTCTGAGAGACTCAAAGCCAAATGACTTAATTTAAGCCCAGCCAGGCACCCATAACATCATGCCAAACACACCTGGATTTCAAGGTCTTCCCACGGTTTCTGTGAGAATGTTTAATTTGTCTGTATTTTACTCCCTCCGTTCTCAGGCCTAATTTAGTTTCTCGGGAAAACTCCCCATCAGCCCAAGGACTTTCACATTCCCCTGCTGCCTGGGAACAAGTGTCGGAATTCAAAACATCCTTGGCCTTGGCCTCATCTGTCTGCAATTCTCTCCAATTGCAGACTCCTCATTTCGAAACACACATCATCTTCCTCATCCTCTGACAATCCATGGAAGCTTGCTGTGCTACAACACTTTCCTTCTGCCACGGAAGAAAATGCCTAGGAAGAATTTTCATTCACTTCTTTATAGAGACTATAAATGTCCATTGGTCCAGACAAGACTGAATCTACATTGCAGAATTAATACAGTTTGGCTCCGTTTTGACTGCTATGGTTCAAAACAATGCAATTCTGGGATTCCTCAGTTGGAGGACTCTTTGGCCAAGAAGGCGAAAGAGCTTGTCAAACTACAACTCCCAGGACTCCATAGTATTGAAACGTGGCCATTAAATTGCTCTCAAAACGCATTCATTCTATTTATTTATTTATTTTATTTACTGTATTTGTATGCCGCCTTTCTCAGCCAATCGGTGACTCAGTATAGTCGCCTATTGGCTCAGTATTCTACCCTGGGATTATTGTTGTGGAAATATGCAGACGGTGGACCATACTCACCCAAATTGTGGCCTATAAAGCCTCCCCTCCATAGCTCCCAAACTACCAGAAACATTTACATTTTAACAAAATTGTTTTGTGTTTTTGAGGCAGTCATGTCAACCAAAAACAGGCCAAAGTATCCCGAGTCAGCCACAATTTTTCCGTATTTTATTTCCCTACCGTGCTCCCAACACCAAGATAACAAAAGGGCTGAAAATCAACCAAAATGGGTCCGGAAGCGACACCACTTTATTTCTGGATGCTGACATGAGACAATGCATGGAGGCGAACAGCCCCCATTCCTCTGCAATTGCCTACTTTCGTTCTACAAAGATGTAGCTGGAAAATACACACATATATATATAGATATATGATTTCTTTAATGCAACGGAAAGCTTTTTCATCTTACATTTTTACAAATGAGCAATGTTTTCACCTGCTTTTACAAATTTGTTGATGCTTTTAGGGTCCATTTTGAGTAATAAGCCACTCTGGATCTAAGCAGCTTGAGAGTTGAGTGGGAGGCGGGATGGAGAGGCAGAAAATTAGAGAGAGAAAATACAAGAGAAGAGAAAAGATTTCCCAGGGAAAAAACAGAGAGAATAAAATAAAGGATGCCTTCCAAAGTCCTACTTCAGGCATGGGCCAACTTGGGCCCTCCAGGTGTTTTGGACTTCAACTCCCACAATTCCTAACAGCCTACCGGCTGGGTTGTTATAAGTTTTTCTGGGCTATATGGCCATGTTCTAGAGGCATTTTCTCCTGACGTTTCACCTGCATCTATGGCAAGCATCCTCAGAGGTAGTGAGGTCTGTTGGAAGTAGGAAAATGGGTTTATATATCTGTGGAATGACCAGGGTGGGACAAAGGACTTTTGTCTGCTGGAGCTAGGTGTGAATGTTTCAACTGACCACCTTGATTAGCAATTAATTAGCATTTAATTGAGTGGGAAGCGGGATGGACAGACAGAAAATTAGAGAGAGAAAATACAAGATAAGAGAAAAGATTTCCCAGGGAAAAAACAGATAGAATAAATTATGGGATGACTGTAGGCATGAGCCAACTTGGGCCCTCCAGGTGTTTTGGACTGCAACTCCCACAATTCCTAACAGCCTATCAGCTGTTAGAATTGTGGGAGTTGTAGTCCAAAACATCTGGAGGGCTCAAGTTGGTTCATGCCTGATACAAAAGCATGGAAGCTGCATACGAACCTCCGTCCCCAGGTCTTTCATCCTGGCCAACGCTAGTTCTCTCAAATTCCCGTGCTCCACTCCGGAACTGACCAGCGGCATGGGGATATCCCTGCAAAGAGAACAGACACAAAGATTAAATACCCATATTGTTGGTAAGGCAGAAAAGGCATTTGCAATAACAACAACAACAACAAAGCCTTACATGGCCAGTTCCTTGAGAAGATTGAAGGAAACGTTGACAGGGAGAAGACCTGGTTATGGCTCATGAATGGAACCCTGAAGAAGGAGACAGAAGGCCTGATTCTTGCAGCCCAGGAGCAAGCCATCAGAACCAATGCCATTAAGGCCAGAATTGAAAAATCAGCAGATGACCCAAAATGCAGACAGTGCAATGAAGCTGATGAAACCATGGACCATCTCCTCAGCTGTTGCAAGAAAATTGCATAGACGAACTACAAACAGAGGCACAACTCTGGGGCCCAAATGATTCACTGGAACGTATGTCACAAGTACCATCTGCCAGTAGTAAAGAACTGGTGAGATCATAAACCTGCAAATGAAGTGGGAAATGTACAGGCAAAAATACTGCGGGACTTTCGAATCCAGACTGACAAAGTTTTGGAACACAATACACCAGACATCATGATTGTGGAAAAGAAAAAAGTCTGGATTATTGATGTCTCCATACCGGGTGACAGTCGCATTGAGGGGAAAAAAACAGGAAAAACTCAGCCGCTATCAAGACCTCAAAATCGAACTGCAAAGGCTTTGGCATCAACCAGTATAGGCTGTTGCAAGAAAATTGCACAGACGGACTACAAACAGAGGGACAACTCTGGGGTCCAAATGATTCACTGGAACGTATGTCACGAGTACCACCTGCCAGTCGTCAAGAACTGGTAAAGGGATCATAAACCTGCAAAGGTTGTGGAAAATAAAAATGCAAAAATACTGTGGGACTTTCGAATCCAGACTGACAAAGGTTTGGAACACAATACACCAGACATCATGATTGTGGAAAAGAAAAAAGTCTGGATTATTGATGTCGCCATACCAGGTGACAGTCACATTGAGGAAAAACAACAGGAAAAACTCAGCCGCTATCAAGACCTCAAAATTGAACTGCAAAGGCTCTGGCATAAACCAGTATAGGTGGTCCCTGTGGTCATGGGCGCACTGGGTGCCGTGCCAAAAGATCTCAACCGGCATTTGGAAACAATAAACATCAACAACATCACTACCTGTTCAACTGCAAAAGGCCACCTGGCTTGGATCTGTGCGCATCATGCGAAAATACATCACACAGTCCTAGACGCTTGGGAAGTGTTCGACTTGTGATTTTGTGATACGAAATCCAGCATATAGATCTCGTTTGCTGTGACATACTGTGCTTTCATGTCAATAATAATAACTTTATTTATACCCCGCTACCATCTCCCCAAGGGGACTCGGGGCGGCTTACATGAGGCCTAGCCCAACAACACATCAGTAAAAACAAAACAGCAAGCAAATAAAACAGAACAATGAATATATAAACAATAACACAGAGAATTTAAAACCTTATGGCCGGGCCAGATGTAATAAATTATTTTTTTTAAATAAACACTGGCCGTTTATGGCCACATCATATTTCAAAATCTCTCCCCCCAGCCCTAATAGGAGCTTTCTTGGTTTCAAACTGGGTTTAGCAGATCAGTAAAAAGAGGAACTGCCTAAACATTGCTGATCAGTTAAAAGCTGCCCTGTTCGATCTCTTGCAACTTTTTGATTGAAATATAATACAAACCGTGGGTTGCTGTAAGTTTCCCAGGCTGTCTGGCCATGTTCCAGAAGAATTCTCTCCTGACGTTTCACCCACATCCATGGCAGACATCCTCAGTTGTTGAGGAGCATAGTGTCTAGATCTAGGGAAGTCATGCTCCCCATGCTCTATTCCGCTTTGTTTAGACCACACCTGGAATATTGTGTCCAATTCTGGGCACCACAATTCAAGAGAGATATTGACAAGCTGGAATGTGTCCAGAGGAGGGCGACTAAAATGGTCAAGGGCCTGGAGAACAAGCCCTATGAGGAGCGGCTTAAGGAGCTGGGCATGTTTAGCCTGAAGAAGAGAAGGCTGAAAGGAGATATGATAGCCATGTATAAATATGTGAGAGGAAGTCATAGGGAGGAGGGAGCAAGCTTGTTTTCTGCTGCCCTGGAGACTAGGACGCTGAACAATGGCTTCAAACTACAAGAAAGGAGATTCCACCTGAACATGAAGAACTTCCTTACTGTGAGAGCCGTTCAGCAGTGGAACTCTCTGCCCGGAGTGTGGTGGAGGCTCCTTCTTTGGAAGCTTTTAAACAGAGGCTGGATGGCCATCTGTCGGGGGTCCTTTGAATGCAATATTCCTGCTTCTTGGCAGAGGGTTGGACTGGATGGCCCATGAAGTCTCTTCCAACTCTAGGATTCTATGATTCTAAGTACTTTGAAAGTAAGCACGGCACAACAAAATAGGAAATAACATATTCAAACCAGGAACTTTTTTTTCAAATTTTGTTACATACTGTGATGCATTCCTGCCAGCCAAAGGTTGGACTAGATTAGCGTTTCTCAACCTGTGGAGGTCATGAAGGGGATGTCAGAGGGGTCACCAAAGATAATCAGAAAACACAGTATTTTCTGTTGGTCATGGGGGTCCTGTGTGGGAAATTTGGCCCAATTCTATTGTTGGTGAGGTTCAGAATACTCTTTGATTGTAAGTGAACTATAAATCTTAGCAACTACAACTCCCAAATGTCAAGGCCTATTTAACCCAAACTCCACCAGTGTTCACATTTGGCCATATTGAGTATTTGTGCCACGTTTGGTCCAGATCCATCGTTGTTTGAGTCCACAGTGCTCTCTGGATGTAGGTGAACTACAACTCCAAAATTCAAGGTCAATGTCCACCAAATCCTTTCAGTATTTTTCTGTTGGTGATGGGAATGCTGTGTGCCAAGTTTAGTTCAATTCCATCGCTGGTGGAGTTCAGAATGCTCTTTGATTGTAGGTGAACTATAAATCCCAGCAACTACAACTCCCAAATGCAGAAGGGACAGCGTGTTATAGCACATTTTGCTATATTTTTTCAATGAATATCTCCTAATCTCTCAACCCATTCAACTGAGATCGTGGCAGCCACGAAAACAACATTTCTAGAGTAGAACAACTATTTTCCAAGTAAGTACTGCACAACTAAATAGGAAATAACACATTGAAACCAGCAACAGAAAATTTTTCAAATGTTGTTACATAGTGTGATGCATTCCTTTCTGGCAAGAGTTGGACTAGATGGTTCTTGGGGTTCCTTCTGACTGTTAGAGGAAGCTATGATTCATGATACCCAGTGGATTCTGGCATTTATTTTCCAGAGACCCAGTCATTCTAGAAGAAGTGGCAACTGGGTTGATTTACGCATGACCCAGCACTCCTGTCTAGGCGTCTATTCCAACCGGCATCTCTCCCATGCTGCTGTTTTCCAACAACCCTTTCTTCCCGGGGACCATGTCTATTCTGCTCTGTTTCCTACACTGTGTCATCAGCCCTCTTCTGATTCTCGCTAGGAAGACCAAGCCGTTTTGTCTGATTTGGGGCGAGCTCCCGCTCGGGGCGAACAGTATGCTAATTGCAGTGCGCGCTTGATAGCCCAACGGTCTGGGGCTAAACTAGAATCTCTTGCCATTCGGTGAGTCACCGTGGCCGATGGCCTCTTCTGTCTCAGGCAGAGGCTGGCAATGTTATTTCACGTATTTCAATAGATTTGTTTAGATAGATTAGATAGATAGGAGGTGGAGGACCTCATTCTGGCAGCCCAAGAACAAGCCATTAGAACCAAAGCCATCAGAACCAGAATTGAAAAGTCGACGACAGATCCCAAATGGAGACTCTGCAAGGAAGCAGATGAAACAATAGATCACATCCTCAGCTGCTGCAAGAAGATTGTGCAGACAGACTACAAGCAGAGGCACAACACCGTTGCTCAGATGATTCATTGGAACTTGTGCCACAAAGACCATCTGCCTACGACAAAGAACTGGTGGCATCACAAGCCTGAAAAAGTTACAAAAAATGAACACATCAAACTACTCTGGGACTTCTGAATTCAGACAAACAGAGTTTTAGAGCACAATATTCCTTACCTCACGACTGTGTTAAAAAAACCAAGTATGGATCGTCAATGTTGCAATCCCTGGAAAAGCTGATGCGATATGAGGATTTAAAGATCGAACTGCAAAGGCACTGGCACAAGCCAGTCAAGGTGGTCCCAGTGGTGATCGGCACACTGAGTGCAGTGCCTAAAGACCTTGGTCTGCACTTAAACAAAATCGGCGCTGACAAAATTACCATCTGTCAGATGCAAAAGGCTACCCTACTGGGATCTGCACACATTATTTGCTGATACATCACATTGTACTAGACACTTGGGAAGGGTCCGTCGTGTGATCCAATACAACAACCAACATAGTGATCTTATTTGCTGTGTCTTAATCTTGTTATGTTTCAAATAACAACAACAACAACAACAACAACAACAACAACAACAACATGTCTGCCCACTATGTTTAAACTATTGACCGGCACCATAGCTGACAGAATTCAAGATTATCTTGAAGAAAATAACATCTTGCCAGATGAACAGAAAGGCAATAAACTGAAATACAAGGGCACAAAAGACCAGCTATTAATTGACAAAATGATTCTGGAGAAATGCAAAAGCTGAAAAACCAATCTTCACATGAAATGAATCGATTACAAAAAAGCCTTTGACTCACTCCCACACAGTTGGATCATCAAGTGCCTAGACACCATCAGGATTTGTAAAAATGTGGGCACTTTTATTGAAAGTATGATGAAGACCTGGAAAACTGAACTGTTTGTTGGAAATGAAAACTATGAACTTGTTGACATCAGAAGAGGAATTTTCCAGGGAGACTCATTGTCCCCACTGCTTTTCATCATTGCCATGATCCCTCTGTCAACAATCTTACAAAAAACAAACCTCGGCTATCAAACGTCTCACGTTCACATGTTCATGTTTGATGTTGTCCAGCTGTAGTATGCCCAGATATTTATAGGCCTCTGGCT